AAAAAAAAAAAAAAAAAAGAATAGGTAAGAGTAGGCATGAAACTTTTCACCAAATACCTTTTTATATTAACTTTGACTTTGAACCATGTAATGGAATTTAGTTTATAAATAAACAACAACAACAACAAAAAACCTCCCAGACTGGTACAGGAATAGCTTTCCCTTGTTTCAGCAACTATAGCCAGTTTTCTGAATGGGGACAGACGAGCAAAAACACCTCCTGAAACAGACAATGGGCAACCTAACTCATTACTCATACTGGAGGTAAAAGAGCTTAGTGGTTAGGAGGGTTGCCTCTGGAGCCACTATGCCTGGGCTCAAATCCTGGCTTTGCTATTTACTAGTTGTGTGACTTTGGGCAAGTCACTTAATCCACTATCCTTCTGTTTTTTGCAGGAGTGTCCAACCTCTTGGCTTCCCTGGGCCACAATGGAAGAACTGTCTTGGGCCATACATAAAATACACTAACACTAACAATAGCTGATGAGCTTAAAAAAAAACGATACCTACCACCGCAGATAAGCAAAAAAGTCCTCGAATTCAAAGGGTTGGACATGGCTGATATCCCATATATAAAATTGTACAGATGGAGACAAACTAGTACTCCCTGACAGACTTTCTGTGACACTTAAAGAGATAATAAAACGCTAAACACAGTATCTAACACATAACCAATATTTGCTATGGGTTTCTATGATTTTTTTTTTAACTAATAAAAAATGTGAGCAAGAATTAGAGATGAAGATGCTAACACCAGCATCATGTACAGGTCTGGGAGTTTTCCCTTTATTTATAAACTATATTCCATTACATGGTTCAAAGTTCTATCCCTAGAAGCTTTCTAGAGAAAGAAAGTGGTGGCCCAGATGTATACTGTTCTCTGGGGTTATATCTGGTTGGAACCTAGAGAGGGGAAATGCAAACAAAGATATGATGGCAAAAACACAAGCAAAACAACCTAATAAACAATGAAAAAAGAAGATATAAGCAGAAAGGTAAATACAAAAGGTGAATAAATACATCAAATAATGCTGAATCCACTCATAACTAAAGAAATTCAAATTACAATGCGATACCATTTTTGTCCATCGAATTGGCAAAGGTTTAAGGGTTGATTATACCTGCTATAGAGAAATGGGATCCTCATACAGTGTTAAGAAGATTGTAAATTAATGTAACTTTTTATCTTAAGGGAGGCAAAATGGAAGCTAATTATTGAAAACTTAAAATGTGTATATCATTTTTTAATTTTTATTTATTTATTTACTATTTACTTATTTATTTTGAGACACAGTCTCACTGCAACCTCTGCCTCCCAGGTTCAAGTGATTCTCCTGCCTCAGCCTCCGGAGTAGCTGGGATTACAGGTACCTGCTACCAAGCCCAGCTAATTTTTGTATTTTTCGTACAGATGAGGTTTCGCCATGTTGACCAGGCTGGTCTCCAACTCCTGACCTCAGGTGATCTGCCCATGTCAGCCTGCCAAAGTGCTGGGATTATAGGCATGAGCCACCGCGTCCAGTTTAAAATG